GTATTTCCCCACGAACTGCCTTAGAGAAGGGTATAGTTTCTTAAAGAGAAAAGAAGCTATACTTACCTCTTGGACACTGCATATATCTACGAAAGGATTCCCTGTGCCGTGTCGTCATTATAGAGTAAATTAAGAAGGCTACTACTCTGTAACAATATATATCCACCTATACTAAAGAAGATCCGTATTTTCTTTATTGCATTTTTTTTATCACCATATTATAAAAAAATTGCAATTTCAAAACAAATGTCAAAAGATTCAATTGTTAGGGCATCCCTGGAGCTGGCAAAGGTTTGGGTTTCAATAAAAGAGAAACAACTCTCCTATTTAAAGAACTTGTTAGTTATAAGAACAATGTTGCTCCTTTTGATAATATAAAATATACTAAAAATACTAATCCTAGAACTTTTTGAACTAAATTCACTGGAGGTTCCCTCTTCTCCGACGTTTTGCCATAAAAATATTTGCGATTGTTCCACATGCTGCAGCTGTTGAACGTCTATTTTCTAGCTTGGGGTTGGTAAAAACTAAATTGTGCAACAGGATGTCTCCTGTCTTGACAGGAATGCTTGGGATGCTTCGCTATAACCTTCAACAAAGTCAACTAGAAATGTTAAAAAAAAAACCTAAAGCAAATACCGTATATTGCCAAAAATAAGCCACCTCCGAAAATAAGCTACCCCCTTTTTTCTTGGAGAAGAAACATAGGAAAATTTGTAATTCCGAAAATAAGCTACCCTTGATAATTTCTTAAAATCTGGAAGTAGTTTCTATATATAAAAGTCAAACTTCTATTAAGTTAATCGATAAAAGTCACTTAATAGGAGTTGTTAAGAACGTAAAAATACACATATCCTGAACGTTTGAAGCAAATAGGAGAACTTTTTACAAAGATGTTTTTGTATTTTACGCTCAAACGTAAAATGCAAAAACATCTTAGTAAAAAGTTCTCTAATTTGCTTTAAACTTTTAAGATATGTGTATTTTTATGTTCTGAACAACTCCTATTAAGTGACTTTCATCGATTAACTTAATAGAATTTTGACTTTTATATATAGAAACTACTTCCGGGTTTTAAAGAAATAATAAAAATTAACCTTTTTGAAACTTTATACGAAAATAAGCTACCCCCATGATTTTTGTGTCACTTTTTTGGCCAAAAAAGGTAGCTTATTTTCAGAAACCTACGGTAGTCAAGATTTGCTTGATAATTCTTTAACAATCAATATTGAAAACAACAATGTTGACTTTTACCTTGAGGAAAAACTTAATGCAGATTAGTACTAAAGCAACGGACATAGATATGGATGATGAGCTAACAATAAAAAATCTTTTTGATGTTCAAATGTTTAAACAAAGCCAGGAGGAAACAATTGAAAGAAGTTCAATTTTGTATTCTCAAACACCTACTATTACTAATGAAGATTGGTCAATTGATGATATCTTCTCTGAATTCTAAAAAATTACAGTACTATATAAAGTTTTTTTTTTCATTTTGTATTCCTCCGACAAAATTAGTGTATATAAAAAAAAAAAAAAAGTATGCTTTTTGCTAAAATAAAGCCATAAAGTCATAATAGTAATATTAGCGTTTCACTTCTACAAAAAAGGATACATCACATAAATGCTCTAAATGCTTCTTAAACTTGCACAAAAGAAAAGATCTTTAACCTTAAATAATAAAGCATTTTGAAAAATAAATAAACGTTTAAATTTAGTGTTAGCATAATAAAGGCGCTAAGCTCTAAAAATGAATTTCATTTATATAAAATTATAGTAAACTTTATAATCAACATTATAGATTCATAAATCTGCCGATTTCAGCTCAGAAGGTGAAGTCTAGTTCAAAAGCCCAAGATAGATCTAAAAGTTTGTAAGAGGTGTCTAGAAATTAAGAATATATAAGGGTATAAAAAAAATGCAAATTTAACTTACTCTGGTCGGTTCTAGTTTTTATTTTCACCAAAGTATGGAAGTAAAGATCGTATCAGAGTATATACTATTAAGTGGCATACCTTATAACTATTTTAATTTTGGCATGCCACCATTGGCATGCCATAATGGCATGCCCATGACTGCCATGCCACACACTCTATTCATTGGAGGTAAATGCTATGCGTTTCATATATTTTTTGTCTAAATATTTTAAAATAATATTAAAACTTATTAGTACAGGCAGTGTTGTACATGGGACAATTTTGGACAATTTTGGACATTTTTTCAAATTAAAATTACTCAAAATTTTATTAAGATAATCTATTTTAATTTTTTCACCAATGAGTCCAGCGTTTAAAAAAAATATATAATTATATATTTTTTTAAATTACTTTATTGATTAGTTAAACATAGGACATAGGCTTGGATAATTTTGGACAATCTTGGACGTTGAACATTTTATATAGTGTGGACACATCCTATGTACAACACTGAGTACAGGATTGTGAATTAAGATGCCATTTGATTCATAGATCGGAATGGCATCAGTTTCAACTAAATTTAATAACAAAGTTATCATATGAGATGCTGCTAATGTGGAGCAAGTATCAGGTGTTTACTTGCCATGAATATTATGATAATTATCGACATTAAATATTATTGCCCTCTTTATGTTCTTCTAAAGTAACCACCAACTAAATCATTGTGTAGTTTTGCAATATCAGCTTTCTTTCGATCCATGTAACAAGATGTAAGTATAACTCTAGCATTCGCAAATACATCAATTGCTTCATGAGCGTTATGATTGTCACAGATAAGATAACACTTAAAAGCTAGATGTTTGTCTAGCTTTTCTAAATACTTCTTGCTTCTTTCAAACGGATTTGCAGTATTATAAATAGAATTAAAAAAAATACTTAACCAATGATCTTTGTCTTCCATTTCCCTTTGCAATTCTTGAAAACTGTAAATTGGTAGCAAATTTTGCTTCTTTTCTCTATTAAAAAGCAAATTTGTTAGCACAACCACACTATTCACCTACATAAACTCTTTACCTAAAATTAATATTTTTATAAAAACAAATGTAAATAAAAGATTTTAAAAGATATATGTGATAGAGATTCTAAAAAAAAGAAAAAAAATTGATTACCTTTCAATTTTTTATTTTTTAGATTCCAAAGTGGTATAGCTCTATTTTGATTCCAGCATAACAAATAATATTGATATGCTAGGAATTGATTGAGTTCCCATTTTTCGTCTTCATTTTTATTTTCCATATTGGCTGCTGCTTCAATTTCATCAAAAAATGAAGTTAATAGTTCGCTTTTCTTTTCTACAAAAGCCCTAAGCTATAAAAAATCAACAATAGACCTATTTTCTCCTAAAACATCTCTTTAAAAAATAATATTAGCCAGAAACTTAATATTTTCAGATATAGAAAGATTATCACTCTTTCTACGTTTTTTTCAAATCTTGTTCCTATTCTAGTGTGTAATTTTTAAAAAAATTACTTCTATTTATTATAATCCCGTTATAAAAACTTAGACACATATACTCACCTTTGCGATCTACATAGTATGAAGCCAAAGTTTTGTTGGCTTCTGCTTTACTTAATATGTGATCGATTATCTTCTTCCATCCAGACGCTACTCCTCCTTTACAAACTTCAACTACATAGCGTTTGGTAGAATTTTGACTTAAAATGCCTTCTATTTTCTAAGAAACTAATCTCTCAACTAAAAAATGAAGTACTAAGATTATTTTAGATTAATTTTAATAGTGAATAAGTTGCTCTATAATCTTTTAGTCTCTTTTTTTGAACCGGTTTAATTGACAGGTTCTGAGTAATCACAGGAAAAAATCATAGTCTAAAGCTATATAAATTTTTTTTTTAAGTTACACTAAGCCACCAATCATCATTTCCAAATTTAGATTGTCTGTCATACTATTGTATTCACACAGGCCGGCAAGCCACTTGGGTCAGGTCATATCGATCACAGGTCAGGCTTGGCCCAGGCCACTTGACAGGTCAGAAGCATTTGATTGGCTATCAAATAGTAATGATATAGTAGGTAGAATTTTTTTAATACTACTAGGTTAATACACAGCATTGTGTGTCTGAAGCACAGTAATAACTAAAATCTAATTTACAAATCAAAACAATGTGATGTATCAAAAACGTAACTATTATATATATATGAACAGACACCAAATACAGAAAATATATTTTTGATATTACTATTTTTGATATATTAAAAATAGAACTTTTGTATTACCTTATATAAACATATAAAGTCCTCTGCTATGCTTCAGACAATAAACAAAGCTTGTAAATTTATTGAAATATATAAATAATTATATATTATCTATTATTTATATTAAAGTTTGGTTTATTGATTAGTTTATAACTTATCTAAAGCATATAAGAAATACAGTATTATGCTTTTTTTTTTTGCTATTATTATAAAGCAAAAGCTATTAATTTGAAGAATAGATAATTTGAGCAAAGGTTCAATAAGTAATTTTAATAGTTTAATAAATTATATAAAAAAAATTTCTTTTTTAATTTGGCAGTTTTGTCTAGGAGTTGGACTCGAGTAGAAATTGTTGATATATGATCATAATAAATTACCCAAATAACCCAGATAATTTAATAATACCCAGATAGAGATTTTCTCAATGGTTTTAACCCCTAGTCTTGCCTTTACTGTTTATTAGTACTTTAAGGCAGTGTTTATTTTTCACAGAGTGTGTATGTATGTGCACTGTGCAGGTCCAATCAAATTTTAAAATAAAACAATTGTGGTTACAAATATATATATATACATTTACAACTATCTAATTAATTACAATTAAGACTTACCTGGTTATTAACTTAGTACCTATATGATATTTTATCTAATTATTAACTATATTGCAATTAGACTGGTTTTCAAACTACAGATGGTTTCCAAACTTTATTATATATACCCTGCTATATATACTACTATACAATGTCTACTAGCCAACTTTTACTCTCATTACTTATCACATTACTTCTAATTTACTTCTTGTACTACTTCCAAATTGGTGTCTCTCAAGTGGGTGCTCTTGTTGTTTCTAATTTGGTGTTCTTAGGATATTACTCTAAGAGCCTAGTTCATATCTCAAGTCAGATACAAGACCTGCTGCCACAACCATGATGTTATTTTACAATCTTCAAGTATTAACATTATACACCACTAAATTAGGCTACTGAACCTTCTATAGTACTTCCTATTGGTATGATGATATAGGGGTCTGGATCCTTCAAACAGAAGTTAAATATCTTATTTAATTATTGTTATAATTTAGTAATCTGAGACCCTTGCCTCTGCCATGTTTTATTATAGACTTTAATATAAGTTGTGTGATTATTATTCTCTAGCCTGGTTTTATTTTCATGTTATTAGATCAGAACTCTGGACTTCTTCAATATAGGTCATAACTGATCTGCATAAATTTTGAGGTTTTTGCTACCCCTAAAATCAAAAAATTTGCTAAAAATTCAATTATTATATATAAATTTTATAGTAATTTGCTAAAAATTAAATTATCATATTTATTTTTAATAAATATAAAATTAAATATATTGAAATAATGTATTTTTGTATACTAAACAAGTTTATCTAGAATATAAAGTTAGAATTAATTAGTAAAATTTTGAGAATAATAGTATAACATAGTAATATTTTTGGTTCAATGTTCTGAATAGTCATATAGTCACATGGTCATGTAACATGGTTGAACCCTTCGCGTCATGGCTACTACTAAGTTATTTTTCTTAGTATAGATTTTTCTTTTATTTATTATTTATTTACAAAATACTATTTATTTCATTATGCATAAATTCATTACACATACGATCGTTATGTATAAATCGTTATACATAAAATCATTTTGCATAACAGGGCCAGTAAACAATTTAAGGATTTATTTAGAATAGTTAGTTAGTCATAAAAGAATTATAAAAGAGATGTAAATTGGTTTCTTGAAAAGACATGATCTGCTATCATGTCCTAAAACTATCTAAATAAAGCCTCTTCATCTTGATATTTCTTCTAACAAAGACCTAAACCCACTCATAACTGAATATTTTGGTTATATTTGACGACAACGACAAGACCAGGTCGCCTAATTGAAGAAATTTACCCTAAAGATAGCTACGTCCTATAAGATAAAACTAGTTTATGCTCTACCTGTTCCCCTATACCAATATCCTAATATGCCTCGTCTAATTAATATTCTCGCGTCCTGTACCTTTTACTGACCCTAAAAGTAAACATTAGTAAAATAAAATTAACAAAAACGAAAAACAAAATATATAGTATGTAAAAAGGATATATCGCTCTTTGCGCCCTATAGTCAACTCTGCATATTTCCCCACGCCTAGCACTTGAACCTAAATTCAACCCGAATTCCTTGCCTCTAAAAGCAAGGGAACTATAAGGTGCAAGAGACTTTATTATAAATTCCGGCTACTCTATATCTTGTGATTCAAACCGGATAGACTTAAGCTCCAAAAGTTTAGAAGAGTCTACCAGTCCCTAGGCTATACAAAAAAAAGAAGAATATTGTTAGCCTTAAGCGATTCTCTAAAGAATTAAAAAAAATAAAAATAAAAAAAAATAAAAAAATAAAAAATGTAAGACATATATTATATAAAAGGATATACTGTTCCCAAAAAAGGTTTCATATCCAATATTCGTCCTAACATGGCCTCAAATATTCTGCTTCACCCATTCTTCACAACATTACAGGGAATAATAAATGGCAGATAAAAGTAAACTAAAAATAAATATGTAACAGAAGATATAACTAAATGATTCATACTTTTCTTGGGAAAATTTTTATTCAACTCTGTGTGATCCCTTATATCTAGTTCCAAGGTTATTTCACTCAAATTATTGAATAATAGCCCAGAACGAAGTTATACCCGGTCCTATATGTGTCAAAGCAATAGCTGAAAGAAACTTCTCGTTGCTGCAAAAGAGAGCTCCGGTAAACTCTGAATCCTGAATTAAAAAAAAAAAGAATACAACTAATTTCAGAATGAGATTGGCATTGAAAAAAAAGAACCTAAAGTATTTCCTCACTAGCAAAGACTAGCAGAGATATGCCATGACAATAGAATATATAGTCTTGAGAATCAAGATGGAGTTATGATTAAAGTAGATGATCACAAGCCACATATATTATCAAAAATCAAAGTTGAAACAAAGGCTATTTAAAATCTAGTTACTAGAAGCTCTCTGATCTAAGTAATACTAGCAAAGCAACAAGGCTAAATAACGTTGCAAAGACGGAACTGATCTTGAAGAATAAAGAAAAGTGTCAGACTTTGGACATTACGATCGCAATAGAATTGATGCCGGTAAGGAAGGAAAGACCTTGGTTCATCAAAGAAAGTACCGACCAAAAGGGTTCTAGTTAAAAAAAAAAAAAAATTTGAATAAACGTAAAAGAAAGACAGAAAGAAGTTGATCAAAAACTATGGAAGTTCAAAAAGTCGATAACAAAAAAGCCGAAAGAAATAAGGATGTGAAAATCTAAATCTGAAAACTGGAAGAGTTAGAAACAGAAGTATAAGTATAAAATATACATTTAAAAAAAAAAAAAAAAAAACTTCGAACTAAAAGAACACAAGATGTTATCAACAAAGATGTGAAGATCTCACCACCAACACCTCGAGTCCAAGATTAGTAGCAGTAAAAGATCTTGAAGTCCATTCGCCATGGAAGCGTCTTCGTAAGGCCAAGACCTTGAAAGAAAACCCAGAACGACATAGAGTTGAGCGAAAAGCCGAAAAGACTGAAAGTTAAACGTGAAGCTAAGAAGGGGACAGAAAAAGAAATTTAAATTTAAAGTTAGTGGATCATCAATCAATCGATAATCTGATGATCACATGGGTGACGTCAGTCGAGACGAAAGAACAATTTAACCAAAGCCTCTATAAGGAAAGAAAGGCCCTAATAAAAAAAAATAAAATAAAATAAATAAATAAATAAATTAGTAAAGTGATATGCATAACAAAAGGAAGCAAATAAAGAACTGAAACCTTATCTGTTATACTTTAAACCCGGACGAGAGGTCGAGTGAATAAAAAAAAGGGATATATAAGTTATAAGAATGTAACAGAGACAAAAGAATAGTCACGATGCATTAAGCCCTTGGTACGTATATAACTCTATCTAGCACTTTGGTTTTGTCAGCAGTTATAATATAAGAAGAATATATAAATTAGGCAAATAAAAGGTAATACTTATTTAAAATCGAGTTGATTTTAAGGTTTTTGCTTTTAGAAATAGGTTAGATAAAGTATGCTTATAGCTGGCAATGCACAGATACGCCAATAGTTAGGCAGTAATTGCAGCATAAGATACTACATTTATAGATTCATGTAGAGTTAAAAATTTTTAATTAAAATTTTATTTTATATAAGTATCTTCTTATATTGTATTTTTTTATATATGTATTTTTAAGTTTGGCACATGGAAACTTAATAACTGTTAGTTAGTATTGTTATATATATATATTTTTTATTATTAGTTAATTTGCTTAGAGGACCTCACATTTTAAGGAGAGGAAAGTGTAAAATAATAATATTTTTAGATTCAACGTTCTGTGTAGTTACATAGTTACATAACACGATTGAATCCTTTGCATCATGGCTACTACTAAGTTATTTTTCTTAGTATAGATTTTCTTTTATTTATTATTTATTTACAAAATACTATTTATTTCGTTATGCATAAATTCGTTATGCATAAATTTATTACGTATATGATCATTACACATAAATCGTTATACATAAAATCGTTTTGCATAACAGGGCAGTAAACAGTTTAAGGATTTATTTAGAATAGTTAGTTAGTCATAAAAGAATTATAAAAGAGATGTAAATTGGTCTTTTGAAGAGACATGATCCGCTATCATGTCCTAAAACTATCTAAATAAAGCCTCTTCATCTTGATATTTCTTCTAACAAAGACCTAAACCCACCCATAACCGAATATTTCAGCTACAATGCATTGCAGATTTAGAACTTTAATAACACCTAATATCACTTATGATTATATACATATTGTTCTTTGCTTATTGTTTTTATGCAAAGAGATTTAGAGTTCTTCAATAATTTAGGAATTTTATTTTCGATATGCTACTAGTTTATACATCATCTCTATGTAGAAATATTGAGGTTTTTAACTATACATACATACATATATATGAATTAATATCTTGTATAACCACTATTAGCTTTTATTATAGCTGCTATTCTATTTGAAATTAACTCATATAACTTTCTTATCATATCGAAGCCTATTTCTTCCCAGATTTCTACTACCCTTTTCTACAACTTATCTTTTTTTTTTGTAAAAAATACTCTTCTTTTAGTTGCCTTTTTATTTCACACTATAAGTGTTCTATTAGATTCGGATCGAGAGAATAGGTGGGCCACTCTAGAACACTAATATCTTTTTTATTAAGCCATCTTGTCATAGCAATAGCAACATGTACCTGAGAATTATCATGCTGAAATATCATTTCTTTAGCAATTTCACTTGATTATAATACATCTATGAGACAGTTCTTTAAAATTTTAATATATCCCTTCACATTTAGAGTCTCTTCAACTAATTCTAAGCAGCAGTTATCAGGAGTTATGCAGCCCCACACCATGATGCTACCACTACCAAGTTGTTTTGTTGGAACAACGTAGGCATTAGTTAATGGTTTTCGCCAGTGATAATGGCGCCCCTTAAAAGCTCCAAAGAGTGCAAATTTACTCTTATCAGAAAAAATAACCTTCTTCCAGTCATCAACAGTCCAGTCTTTATATTTTTCTGCAAATCTTAACTGATTCTCTTTATTTTTATCGGTAAGAGCAGAATGTCTTTTTTTAACTCTTGAAACAAAACCATTTCTTCGAAGAACATTTCATATCATATTAACTGATAATTGCTGTCTTGTTTCACAACAATACATTGAATAAATCTCAGTTGCTATTTCACATTTCCTGGAAGTAATCATTTCGCATATTTTTCTTTCTTCATCAATTGAAAGAAGATAAGGATAACCAGACCTTTTTAGATCTTCAACTATGCTAGTTCTTTTAAATTTATTTATGATCTTAGAAACCATATCAGGTAAAATACCTATTGTCGAAGCAATCTTGTTTTGAAATATATTATTTTCGACAAGAGTAATAATAACAACTCGTTGAAAAAGGGATAACTCTTCTTTTTTATTATTTCTATAAAATTGAAGGTTTTTTTTTAAGATTTTAATTATAGGTGATTTTGGCATTTTTTTAAAAGATAATAAAAAACAATAGATTAAAAATAAAGCAAGAGGTTAGATTAATAGTTTAAAAAGCGATATAGCAAAGTAATAATTTCGAAAGTGAAAGCAAACAATTTTATCTTTTTATAACTTAATACTGTATATAGTTTATCATTATTATCTATAAAATAAAGGATAACTTCGAAAATCTATTTAAAGATTAATAGGCAATCCGCCAGTCACCTGGATAAAAATTTTTTTTTTTATATATAAATTTTACTATCCCTTAAATTGTTTTGCAGCCAAATTTGCCTGCAAACTTTTTTAATTTTTTAATAAAATTTTAAATATTGATTTTAGCTATATCTTTTTTAAGTAAAATATTTGATTTGAGATTTGTTTTATTGGCTTTGTTAAGAAAATTTTTTAAAATTATTAAAAAACTTTAGCACAATAAAAGTTTA